GGTCACAGAGCGACAGTCATCATACAACTCATTTATGGACATACACGTCTGTGTTTCAGCCTTTTATTTACATAAATTAGTGTTTCATTTTGCAGAGCTGCCAGGTGAGCGCCCCCTCTGGTGGGGGAATAGATAGTTGTAGAATACAAAAAAACAAGTCTTTTTTCCTTTATGTCTTAAAGTAATTTTCTTTTTTTGCTATCTGAAACAGAAAAGGAAACTCAAATCATTGTTAAAATTTTGTTTGTCCCTTTTTGACACTAAGAATGAGACACGCTTTGTATTTTAATTTTAATTTCAGTATTTTAAAACAAAAATCAAATATCCATTCAATTCTTGTTTTTTAATACCCGTTTCTAAAATAAAAATCCAATGACCAAAAGATACACTGACCCAAATTGTGTCAAATTTACAGACTTTAGGGCCTATACATTAAATTTTAAATTGTGTTGATAAATAAATTACAGAACTTTTTTTTAATGTTCATCATGTTTGAAGCAGAGAGGAGCACCGAGCGGACTAATCATATTAATCRTCAAGKGCCAAAAAATAATCRATTAGTGTTTTTATGACGATTAATTGMACAYGATACRATTAYGCCCAACCCTTAGCTATAAAATYTGTTAGTGACAATAGAMAGAACTGTAATTTACTATCTTGAGTAATTTTGTTTAACTCATTTTCATGGGATTGTTTCAAATGATACAATTGTGTTTCAACGAGAYTAACCTGTATAAATAAAATAAATGTTATACAACATCAAGAACAATGTGCCTTCTTTGTGATGCACTAACAGTGAAATGTGTGTGAGGCAGTGTTCTGAGCAAATGATAAATAATAAAGAATTATTAGAGAGAGGACAGGAGCTGGCAGAGGGAGCATAAAGACTTTGAGACAGATTTGAACTATGTAGCTGTGCTCCTGTGGGACCGGCCTCGATGCTGGGATACTGGGACCAGAGGAACTTTCAGCCGTCCACCAGCCAGGCCTCCAGCAGTCTGATTTACAGCGGCGTTAACGGGGCCCATCAGAGCAGCCACTTTAGGAGAAGATTTAGAACGAGTTGCATGCCAAGCCAATGGCAATGCTTTGCATAGAACACACTTGCAGAAAAAAAAAACATTGTGCAAATGTGGGTATAAATGAGAGCTTGCAATGATCAAATTAAGCTGAGTTTCAGTTTTATGACCATAAAAACAAGCAAATAAACAGGCTGGGTGAGCTGTGCAAGGTGAGATACAAGGAAGTGAAACCACAAAATCATGGAGTGACTTTATCTAAATAAAAGTCAAGTGTGCAAATTCTTTTACCCATTTTGGTTTGCTCATTATTATAACCTTCCACTGATCTGTTATCCTTTTGTTAAGATCACTTCTCGCTTGCTGTTTATCTCATTATTTTTCTCACTCTACCCTTCTTTCATACTTTATGGTGGTAAACTCAAAAATGTGCCATTTTTAATCACAACTTCCTCCTGTACRCCAAAAAATTTCCATAAAGGTGCACCAATAAACCGGCCCCGATTTYGTRWATTTTAGGAGAACAGCAATCAACCRATTTTTACGTGAAAAGTTAATCGTATCCACCAAACTTATCTACCTCTGCAAAGGTCTGAATATCACAGCCACTGTCCCCTTTTCCTCTGCTGTGAGCACTGCCTCAATGTTCTTCAATAAAACAAGTCTGGAATGTTGAAGGTGTGACCTTGCAACACCTGACACTGTTAGAGATAAAAATAATAAAAGAAATATCGGTATTGTCGTAAAAATCTGAATCTGGTCAGGCTTTTTAAAGGTCGGTGATCAACCAGAAACTGCAATCGGTGCAACCCTAATTTCCACTGCTAATGTTAAAAAAATATAATTTCTTAAATTTACCAGATCTTAGGGTGTATTCAGACCAGGAAAGTCCTTTGGTCCAATTGTTTGTTCCGGACCAAAAATGGACTTTATTTATTTTTTGTTTGTTTGGTGCGGTTTGCATTCACATTGTGCTTTTTTGCAAATGAACTATAACTTGTAAACAAAGCCATGAGGCTGACGATCATTGCTCCCATTGGACAAAAAAGGACGGGGGCGGGACTGAGCCACAGATCCAGAAGAAAACAAGAAAGTCCTGCATGCTGCGGTTCTGATGTGCACATTTTTGTTGATAGTACAACTGCAATAGCATTTAAAATGTCAGAAGCAGCTAATTTAATGGTGGTTCCGTGATGATATTCTGATTTTGGAGCGGCGTCAGTAAATGTGCCCCGCAACCCAAAGGAGACGAGGTGCTCTGCGTGTTCTGACCCACAACATGCTGGCAGTAGAGCTGCTAACAGGAGACGACAAAACAGGTATGTTTTCAGTTTATTTAGCTCAGCAACGGTGGCCTGTGAAGTCCAAAAAAGTGCATGTTTAATGCATTTGGTTCGGTTAGAGTCCGGTCTGTATTCACATCAGAAGAGAACTAAAGTGAACCGCACCAGTGTTCATTTGGAAGCGGACCGAGACCACCTCAAAAAGCAGGTCTCGGTCCGGTTGTTTGATCCGCACCAGAGTTCGCATGTGTGTATTCACCACCTGCACAAAAGGTCCGGACCAACGCTGGAAACGAACTCTGGTTCGTTTAAAGTGGAGCAAATTATCAGGTCTGAATACGACCTTAGATTTACTTAATGAAAGTGCACTGAGGGCCTACAGAATATCTCAATTCCACTTACTTAAAAAGATCCTAATTATAGCAACGAACTACAGATCAGAGGGCAGTTTTAAAGGAGGATAACATTATATTAAACATATATTTTCTATTATAGGATAATTTAATGGTTAGGTAAAGTGTCTAATAATAAATGTTTCTTTGCAAACAGCACAGAGCATGAAGTCACACCAATGATTGGACCAGTAAACTTTAAATGCAGCAACATTCTTAATGCAACGTGTTCCTCTGTTTGTCTGCAGTGTTACAAATAGTCCTGCTGACAAGGTGGCTGTCACATGCAGTTTAGCATTTAACTATTTGAGATGACATTATAAYGAGAAGCTCAAAAATCCACCCAGTAAATTGAGGAATGTAAAATGAGCAGTTGATTTCGTTAGGTGACTAAGGCCAAGACAAGATAACAATTTCCATGTGTGTTTGTGTCACTGAGCGTCAGCCCACGTCTGCCTGTGTCTATTCATTTCTCAGATGTTTCCATGTTTTCCACACAAGCAGGATTTAATGGATACAGTGACAAGGTTTTGCGAAGCCACTCCTGTTTGCCACAGGATGAACTGTCAACATCTCAGCGAATAATCACATTTACACTACAACCAGATCTGCCAGCAGGCAGAGCAGCTGAATAAACAATCCACAGGGGCAGGAGGACGCTTTACAGCTGCTGCAATTCAAAAATAAGACAAAGTGAGACCAAAAAAAAAGATGCGTTTTCTGCCTGCCTGCCTGTAAGCTTAGATTTATTGTTAATCAGACTTTGCCCCTGTAGGAAGACACTTCACGGGTCACTTTGACACAGCAACCAATCCTGTTGAGCAAATTGGATCTTTACAAGAACCTGAGCCTTCAAGGTCTGAGGACGATCTTAGGATTGAAAATACAAGAACARTTCAAGAAAATCCAGTTCATCAGCATCACAAATATATATTAATGCAACACAGTCATCATACTAGGGTTGGGCAATATTGGCAAAAAATAAATTACGATTAATTGTGATATTTAGCCGATAACGATTAATTAGACGATTAACCCCTGGAGTCCCTGGACACCCTTATGTCCTGGTCACATGACCAATTTAGTGGGAAAGATTTGCTCTTCATAAAAATCTGTTCCAAATTGTGTCAAAATTACAGACTTCAGGCTATACATCAAATTTTAAATTGTGTTGATAGATAAATGAATTACAGAACTTTTTTTTAAATGTTCGTCATATTTGAAGCTGAGAGGAGCACCGAGTGGACTCTGCCTGGTGGCATTAATCGTATTAATTGTCAAGTGCCAAAAATTAATCGATTAATGTTTTTCTGACGGTTAATCACACACGATACGATTATGCCCAACCCTACATCATACTTAGTGAGAATCTGTTTTGTTCCAGTTAATTAAAAAAAAAAAAAAAAACTCTGCAATTGCCTCTCTTGTATCCATCACTAGCCGTGTAGCCACGTCAATACTTCAAACAGTACAGCCTTGCACACATTTCAGAGTGGGCTTTGATATACACTACTGCAGTTCAGTTTACAGTCACATCTGTGCTCACCGAGTCTGTATATATCTCCAGGTGCACATGCAGCAGGAACGATAACAGTAATATTTCTTGACGGCATGCCTGAACAATCTCGACCTTTGATGCAGAAACCCTGAAGTTCCTCAAGAGGAGCAACAGGATGAAAAGGTCAGTCTGAAACATCTACGTTAAACTACTTGCTGGTGAAACAAATCKTGTTTCCATTAGTAAAATCTTTAGCTTCTATAGCTGCACCTGTAAAACAGCTATAGCTACGCTGCGCAAATCGTTAAATATTTATAAAATCGTAGGTTTTAAAATTTGTTGGGATCAGGATTTCTTACTACACTGATATTACAGAAAATCTAACAGTTAGATCTCGCCATAATTTATTGTTTTGTTAATTCCTAGTATCAAAAGCATTTAGGGCTACTGGTTTGTCCGAACCAGGTTATAAATAAAACAAGACAGCTAACAGGAGCTCATCAGCTACTTATCAAATGGGGAAAAAGGGCTTCACCATYTTGATCTTCTACTGTACATTTCACAAAGCACATATTTCATTTCTCATACGAGAGATCGTCTGTTGTGTCCTCATTTTACTCAAGAACAACACTGCCTTTGTCAGTTGTTTTTGTGCCTATTTCTTAGTCACCATTGTAACAGCATTGTGAGTGGGTGTCCCTTGATTTCATGCCACAGAAAACAAAAGAACAATATTTCCAGTCTAGAGAAACCACAAAGCAGACATAAACTAAAATATTTGGATGCACATAGCTCTGCTTGTACCTTGTTAATTCCAAACTACAAGAGTTACTTTGATACTAATCATCTTCCTGTTGATTTACCTGACTCGATTGCTGCAAAACTTTGTGAACTGAGGCTGGTTGAGGTAAATCTGTCGAGCGTCTTCTTGGTCGGCTAGTGATGTCTTCTCTGATGTGTCTTCTGTCTTTTCATAACCTGCAGAATAAATGAAAGGACATTTTCACATACAGTTAATAATAATAAACATAAGCACTAACAAAAGTAAGATTGTTAGTTTAAAATCTGCAAAGGAGTCTTTGGAGTCTGAAAAAGACTATGTTTATTTGACCATCACCCCCTCCTGGAAAACAAAAGAAACTAAAAACAATTTGGAGCATCCTACGGTCTGTTTCTCGCAAAAAGAAACTTCCAAAAACCTAAGTTGAAGAAGAAAAAAAAAACTAACCTAACCTAGTTATTTTTTTAATTCACCATCTTTTGTAATTTCATCATTTGTCATCTCAAACAAACAGAATAAAAACTAATTAGAAACAGACGTGTGCATTCAATAAAGCTACATTAACAAGTCACACAAGTCTAACAGAGCCRTTTTTAATAAGAATATTGTCTGCCTATTGAACGGTCTAATAAAAGAAGCAATAAAGGATTTCAAACAGCAATCAGTTCCCATCACAGAAGCCTCAGCCTGAGGGCATTATAGCCAAGTCCCCAAAGAAAATGTGATCTGGTTGGCTGATAGCTTTCAYTGGAAGAAACAGGTGGTTGTAAAAGTAAGGAAACTCAAAGTCCCTCTGCTGAACGCTAATAATCTTAGAGAACATATGTGCTGTATTCTTTAGGCTGTTCTTTCCCCCACAGACAAGCAGATAAACAGGAAGTTAAAAAAACAAAACCTCTGATGATCTGTGTTTGCATTTTCATTCGTTTAAAAACAAATTCAAACATCGCCGTGCTACTCTTCAAAGACTATTTGTCGTAGGAAGTGTGTGATTCATGTTCAGCATTTCCTGCTCAGAGACATCCTGATGGAAAAGTCTGCTGCAGTCTGGTGTGCAGAAAATTCAACAAGGAAGTACTAACAAAGACTATTTTCTGTGTCGGAMTCAACATTTTTCTTACTAAAACCATGTGTCACCTCAATTTTTGATGCATAAAATTAAGAACTGACAAGTCATTTTTATTATTCCTCCAATTATTATTTTCCTCTTACACTGTCTTCTGATTTCAATTCGTCAGGATAGGCAGAAGCACCATTTCTGTGCTGGAAAACCACTTTCCTTGTTTGGATAAAATCCTCTGCCTACGTCTCTGGAAACACAAGGTCCTGCTTTGCTTCTGCTGAGTTCAAAAAAGTAGAAGAAACTCTGCTGGCGAAATAAACACTACTGGGACCAGATGAGGGCTGCGTGTGGGTTGCAAAAATGCTTATACGTGTTTAATACTGCGGGTTTTGATTGACAAATGTCTTTTTTGAAAAGAAAAGTCTAACATGTTCAGAACATCGGTGTAAGCAACATAGAAGGAATAAGTAATACAATATTTGATTCTGATTTTTTATCTAAAAATATAACTRACTTTAAGTGTTTTAAAACATTTTAGGTTATTGATAAATGCTAAAATATGTTTAGTTAATACGGAGCCCACGAGGGGACGTAGATTTTTTTCTTTTGCGTTCCCATGCAATAGCATTGCGTTACCTCGAAATACTTTTGTGTTACCTCGCAATACCTTTTGCGTTCCCTYGCAAAAGCAGTTTATCACTGTTGTGCCTGCCAATTTATTAACAAACTCACATGTTCACCATTAGCGAGTTAGCCTACTGCTTTAATTCAGCTTCAGAATGAATATATCACACAGCCACGCATGGAAGTATGTCATTACGCCGATATTTTAACACAGTGCAGCTACGCAACATCAATGTCAATTTCACGAACTTGTGGCAACACATCCTGTTTTGGTAACYGGATATTTCAAAATAAAAGTCTGATTTAATTCAGTTACAAAACAATCTTTTGCGTGGGAACGCAAAACAATTTTGCGAGGTAACGCAAAAGTATTGCGAGGTAACGCAATACTATTGTGTGGGAACGCAAAAGAAAAAAATCTCCCCATGTCCCCTCACGGGCTCCGTAAATGAAAATTATGCTTACGTCAGCTGCTTTATACCTTTAGAAGTTAATATGAGACTAATGTTTTGTACTTTTTCTTACTGAAAGAAGTCCTTTTTGAAGAGGAATAAAAAGGCTCATTGGGTTCATTCTTGCCTTTCCTTGTGTTTGGATTGATATATTTGCATAAGCTGTTTGTTTGTTTAGCTCTCTGACTCAGCTTTAGTTGTGAGTAGCTGCTGTATAATTAAACTGAGTTGAAATGAAGCAAGTTGAATTAAATATATCTGTAACACTGCCCACAGCAATCCCAAGAGAGAACCACTGTAAAGCTCCGAGGTCAAGAGTAGTCCCGGACTATCATGTTCCATGAATGTGATCCACAGGGTTCTGGACGACCTTTGGTCATGTGTGGTGGGGTTAGAGGAAGTGAGGCAAAGCAGTCATAGCATAGCTTCCATATATAAACAWAACAAAGCATAAGGTTCGTATGGAAAAAGGCTGTGAGTGAGCGAATGCAGTTTCTTGAAGCATCAACAACAACGAAACTCAAAGTGTTGGCATTCTGTAACCTGAGTGACTACGATATGACCCGGCTGTAACCAGAGCCTGGTCTGCAGTATTTCCTTCATGTCATGTCAASGGAACAAAGTAGAAACTGACACAGCCCTCTTAGTCAAACCAGTCAGTTTCTCTTCTCTTTGCTTCCTTTCTTTTTCTCACCTTACAGCCAACACTTTCTCACTCATGTAACACAAACCCTGMATCTTCAATTACAGCTTTTGTTATTTTAATAGTCCACTTGGCTTTGCCCAGAGGATCCACAAAGCATTTACTTTTTATATCATATTCGTTGTTTACTTTAAAGTTATAGTTACAAAATGTTTTGAATAAAATACTTAAGAAGTAACCATCTTCTCTTAATGTCTTATCTTGATAGTAACCCCCTTTGCCATGCGCTGTATTGCTAAAAATAAATGGCTCCAGTAGTCCTTTGGGCAMCGGGGAAACCACTGGTTGGTTAGCCTGACCTTGTTATGTAACATGTCACATCAGCAAAGGTGCTTTATTGGATTACTGTTAAACCAATCACTGTGTTAGGACAGGAGTCTACAACCTACAATAAGTAACAAGACAAAGTACATCACCGTTCACCAGTAAAGGATATGTGTACATAGTTTACTGTACTAAGAACTCCCTCTGCTTCAGTTATTATTGGTTGCATGAAGCAAGAGATAAGTTGGATGGTTTTGACTTTCGAGAATCTAAAAGTGAGACAATAGATATATAATATTTTTTCAACAAATGTGTGAGCCGCTTYATCTCAGTGGAAACTAAAGTTTTGATCCATGTTCTTTGGGAGAATTAAAAGAAAAATAACATAACCTAAGGATTGAAAAACCATCTGAAGTCTTGTAACTACATTGTATTTGAGCGTTCGATGTATTTTTTTAATACAGCCATGTAAGTGTGGAGCCTCGTTCTTGAGAAAAGGTAACAAGTGCTAAAGTCATGGGCGTCAGAACCATTTTAAAGGTSTAGGTGGCACACTGGTGGCGGGGGGTGTCTGGGGGCCCTCCCCCAGAAAATAGGTGGTGTTGAATAGGCCATTTCCTGCATTCTGGTGTATTTTAACAGGTTCTTAAACATACTTTTGCCTACATAAAAAACACTTGATTTAATAATTATTTCAGAGACTCATTCTTCATTAAACTAGTTATATCATTCTGATGAAAAAAATAGGTCTACAGGTTCCTTCCTATCCTGGTGCCACCACAATTTCTGCCACTTTCTACAACTTAAAGTGATAAAAATTAAATAAGAGCAGGACACATATTCCCCCACGCTTTTTATACTATTCAAAATATAATAAAATTCCGTTTAATCATGCTGTAGATCAGTGGTTCCCAAAGTTGGGGTCGGGACCCACAGTGGGGTCCTGAAACATCAAAGTGGGGTCCTGAAATTATTTTCTGAATTAATTACACGAAAAATTGACAACTAACAACATTTTTAGCTTTTGCTGTTACAAAATGATAAGATTAGTGTACTTAAAATGGACAATAATAATGTTATAAATAATGTTACTGTGCTCTTGTTTATTTGACGCAAAAACAACAGACAACAGCTGGGGGCGCAGGTCTCTACTGATAATATTTTGTGGGTCAAAAGCTGAWAAGTTTGGGAACCACTGCTGTAGATTATGCCTTCAAATTAGTAGTTTCATAAACTTTACACAACCGTCTTCACAGCACCTTCATCATTGTCATCACTCACTTGAGCCACAGAACTCTGTCCCTACATGCTGACACTGACTCTCATCAGCTCCTGCATCACATGAAGATGGATTAGGGTTTTTTTCATAGCCAGCTGAAGTCAGTCAGCTTTAAAGTCAAAAAATATCATGAAATAAGATCAATAAATAACAGATGACTATTTGGTCTTGTTTAATTAGTGATTGTTAGTCAACAGTCTCATCATCTGTTTATTAAAAATTAAAGTTGTCAGACATGAACCCAGCTATGTTTTACGCTGAAACTATTCTAAAAAGAAGGGAAAAAAACTACTCTCACAATACGTTTTAGGATACAATTATTTYATATTTTAGTAAAAACACCCAACAAACTTCTGATGAGATCATTTTGTTCTTGCTGATAATAATATCACCAGCTGATCACTCTGTCCTTTAACACATGCTGTAAATTACAGCAATAATTAGTCGTGATATCTAAGCTCTAGCCAGCGGCTAACTGCATTAACTTTACACAGGATAAATCTGTCCTGTGGAGAGTTTAACTTACTTTCTGCTTCGCTGTAAAGAATCTCCTAATGTTCTGTGTGTCTGTGGAGGGATCCAATTACTCATCATCACCCACGCTGCCTTCTAGTAGCAGCTAGAAGTTGGTTTTAGGTTGAATATTTGTGTTCCAGTAATTCAGCGTTGTCTTATGTCATCTGATGAGATTAATGTGGAGGGGTCCAAACGGATACTTTTGAARAGTGGGGGGGGACACGTCCCCTTCACTTACTATTGTTGCGACGACTATTGTTGCGACGCCTATGGCTAGAGAGTTCACTTTTGTGTCA